TATATCAATAAAGCAACGAGTATAAATAAAAAAGGAAAATAAGCAAATGGGAAAACAATGGAGAACAAGTAATAAACTCGTTTTCTTTTGTCCTCTTTTCCTTTTCTCTTCTACCCTTCCCCTTCTATTTTCTTCTTCTTTCTCTCCTTTCTCTCTCCTTCGCCTCCTTCTTTCTCCATTTGCTTCAAGGCAAGAGCATCCTAAAGTGAAGGAGGAGAGGAGGGAACGAAAAAGAGAGGAGAGAGAGAGAGAGAAGGAGAGATAGAAAGAGAAATGGGGGAGAGAATGGAGAAACTGAAAGGAAGGAGGGAGGGAAGAGAGGAGGAAGGAGGGAAAAAAAGATAAGGAATAAGGGAAAGAGGAGGGGAGGGAGAGAAGGGAAGAGGAAGTGAGGGAGGAATGAAAGAGGAAGTGAAGAACGAAGAGAATGATAGTGATAGATAGTCAGCGATAAAGCAAGCGAAGGAGAGAAGGAGGAAGAGAGAAGATCTAAAAACAGAGCATGTTCTGTCATCATTATTGTGTTACTGAAGACCAAGTGTGTGAGTGTCTTTCTGTCCATGTGTACATGTGTATGTGTCTGTGCACTTGTGTGTTTGTGCATAGACACACACACTGTGAGTGTGAGTGTGTCTATGCACAAACCCCGTCCATACGTACATATACGCGTACACCCACACACACAAAGAGATATGTAGATCTGACAATAGCAATGAGACGGTGTCTTTTATCCTGCAACTCCTCGTCCTGTTGAGTGGTTTGTCTTCACACGCTGTTGTCAGTTACATTGCTTTTAATACTACTGTTGTCAGGGTAATCAGCATAATCAATTATAGTTCTGTTATCATTATTGTATTTCCCATGAATATGATTAATGTTGATATCTTGTACCGTACTTGGAATGGAGTTTGTTGTTGCTTTGCTATTATCCCCCTCCTGCCGTCCCCATCTTTATTATCGTTATTATCTTTATTATTGTCTTTATTACTGTTATCGTTATGATCATTATCATCGCTAAATCACTGATACTCTCGCATTTTGTTTACTATCACTATTTTCTTTTAGTTTTCATTGTTATTTTTATATCATTATTCTTGTTGTTGCTATAATTATTATTATTGTTATTGCTACAGTCAGCACCATCATTGTTATTGCTGCTATCATTATATTATTAGCAGTATTGTTACCATTAATATTAGTAATATCATTATTGTCACTATTATTTATATTAGTACTAGTATTTGTATTGGTATTAGCATTATTAGTAGCATTAATAGTAGTGATAGTAGTAGTAGTAGTAGTAGTGGTACAGTTGTAGTAGTATTTATATCTTAAACATCTTTTTGGTAATATAATTTTCTTCCAATATCATCATCTCATCCTTACTAGTAATGTTATAGACGTTAATATTCGTTATCTTTATTATTGTTAATGTTATCATCCTTATCATTACAATTATACGTTGTTATCATCCTTATCATTACCATTAACTTTGTTATCATAATCGCCTTAATCAACATTAGCATTGCCACTATCATCAGGAATTCCACCATCACAACAACAACCACCATCATTATCACTGCTATTATCCTTTTGATACTGTCGTTAACATAATCAATCAAATATTAACGACAATGGCATTATCATTATCTTTTCCACAATGACAGCGAGATCAGAGCAGTCAACACGAACCACGACACAAAGTTCTCTCCTCCATTCCGAGTGCCACATTACCATAATCCTCCTCCTCGTGATTATTAATTTCGTGTGGCACCTCGCGCTTCGCTCTGTCTGTCTGTCTGTGTATTCGTTTCTCCTTTTCCTGTTCTCTCTCTCTGGTTATCTAGTTCTCTGTTTATTTGTCGGGTTGTCTGTCTATATATACATATTGTATGTTTTTGGTGAATCTATTTTTTTTTCTGTCTCTCTTTCTATATGTATAAGTGATATATATATATATATATATATATATAATATATATATATATATATATATATATATATATATATATATATATATATATATATATATATATATATATATATATATATATATATATGTGTGTGTGTGTGTGTGTGTGTGTGTGTGTGTGTGTGTGTGTGTGTGTGTGTGTGTGTGTGTGTGTGTGTGTGTGTGTGTGTGTGTGTGTGTGTGTGTGTGTGTGTGTGTGTGTGTGTGTGCGTGTGTGTGTGTGTGTGTGCATGTGTGCGTGTTTATGTCTGTCTGTCCCTCTCTCCCTTTCCCCCTTCCCTATTTCTCCCCCCCCCCCCCGCCCTCTGACCCCGTGCCTCCCCCCAGGCCCTGCGCGAGGTCATCCCGCACGTGAAGCGCGAGCGGAAGCTGTCCAAGATCGAGACGCTGACGCTGGCCAAGAACTACATCATGGCGCTGACGAACGTGGTGTGCGAGATGCGCGGCGAGGACAAGCCGTACCAGCTCTTCCCCAACAGCTCCTCCTCGCCGGCGTCCTCCACGGGCAACAACGGCGGCGAGTCCCCGA